TGTAGGGATTATGGATGTGAGCCAACATGTCTGGCCCATATTTGGTTTTAAAATCATTATTTAAAACACAAAAGTAACTCAATATATTTTTAAGGTCTTTTGAAAGTAAATACATGATGTCCTGGTAAACACCAGAGACATTTTTCTGCTAGGAATTCATTTTAAAGCACTTTTAAAAATTTAACAGTATAGTCCTATTATTCTTGAAATAATAAGCCTATGTAAGAAATACCTTATTTAAAAAAGGAATAACTTGGAATTTCCTGTCCTAAGCCAATTCTTGAAGCACTGTAAATTGTACATATTTGCCAAAAAAAAAAAAAACTGTTGAAAACTATAAAAAATTATAAATTTACAGCTTCCTCTTTAGCATTAGCTCAAAGAATAGGCTATACATTTTTTAGATGCTTTCCCTCACATAAAATCAATTCAGAAAAAGTAACTGAACACAAGTTACTTCGTAGTAACTTAGAAGACAAGTAGTATTAGTTTAATATAGTTAAATACAATAGACTTGGGATTTCTTATACTTTTTGAAATTTTTCCTAGTAATGCTGAATGTGTTGTGCACTCAATCTCTAACTCTACCATGCAATTTCAGATCTTGAACAAAATGTATATAGTCCAGGAAGAGTTTCCTATGATGATTCTGCATTAGTTATAAATGTTGCAATGTGAGGTGATATGAAATTGAAGGGTGATGTGATGTGCCATCTGCTGGAAATATCTGATAATCACAAGGAACCAGAAACTTTGCTTTTTAATAAAAGTAGTTATGAGTACTGCACAAAGACTTTGGAACTAGGAGAAGAATCACATAGACACTCCTGTCAAGGAAATTAAAATCTGGTGGGGGATACAGAGGAAGACAAATAACTAGCAAGTTGTGAAATTACCAGGAAGACTTAGAGTATGTGCTAAAAATGTGTAAAATGGGAGGAAACACGGAAAAGGTGTAATTCATACTGAGGAAAGAGAACAAGTGAAAGAAGTGTCACTTGACACTTCTGATTCAAAAGACCAGATTTTAAAGAGATGGATGTATAGAGTCAAAAAAGAAACAAAATTATATTATTTTGGATATATAAACCTCACCTCACCATTAACAACACATTCTGCCTCAAGTACAATTAGTTTAGTTTCTGAAAAAGGTTAATGGTATTGGAAAGAAAACAGAGAAAGATCAAATAGTTTTGTGTGGCGGGGCTGATAGTAGCTGGCAGGTATGTAGAGGTTAAAATTTGGCCAGGGCTTTAATAATCCATAATATCTAGCTAAGAAATTTGAACATTTTACTTAAGACATCAAACAGCAAGTCAGCAAAGGTTTATTGGTTTATAAGCATAGTAGGAGAAAACTATATAATTGGAATTTGTTCACATCATGGAGATGACAACGGGAAGAAGGAATTAGTATGTATTTATATAGTATCCAATAGATATTTCTATAAGATATATTATCATTTACATAATTATATTGCATTTCCCAAATAAACCTATAATACACAATTTTATAGTTTACATTTATAGATTCTACATAGAAAATTACATTATATACTATTTATTCCTATTATAAATATTATACATATTTACTCCTATGTATAGAAAATTATACATTTATAAATAATTTATAAAAGGTTTTAAAACTTCTAATAATGTTATGTTTGTGTGTCTGTGTGTACACACAAAGGGAAGATAAGCAATAATAATCCAGTCTGTTGTGCTGTACACACAGGACGACTTATGTGGTCAGTGAAGAATCCCAGCAAATATACTAATGATATTTAATTGGCTTCTTATGCTCTATAGCTGCAGAAAGTCCTTATTTGTGGATTGCTTCCGGCTGGAAGGAAATGCTTTCTCTAGGTGATTCACTCCAAGTAAACATGAAATGTATGGATTTGTGCATGATGGCTCCCTGAAAAATGTCATTACAGTAAGTACTGGGGTATAAAATCAAGGCATTTTATGAGCAAAATAGCTCTCTTTAGTGTATATGATGCCCTGCGTGCTTTATTTCAAGATATCACATATCTGGGCAAGGGCACATCAATTGGAGCAAGAAAGGACCTGGATGATAGATCAGCAGTTTCAG